CAGTCACCCAACCATCCACTCACCCACCCCTCCAACTACAGACACCTGACCATCCACTCACCCACCCATCCAATTATGTAAGCACCCAACCAGCCGTTCACCCACCCATCCAACTACGTGGAGCCCCTGGTGGGTGCAAAGCACAGCCTTTCAGTTAGCAGCTGAGCACTTCACCAGTGCACCAGCAGGGCCCCTTATGGTCACTGCTGTTGTTAGGTGCCGTCAAGTTGGCCCCAGCTCACAGTGACCCCGTGTGCGACAGAACAAGCCGCCCGGCCCTGCGCCAGCCTCACAATCGGCCCCATGCGTGAGACCATCACGGCAGCCACGGGTCCGTCGTCTCATTGAGGGTTTCCCCTTTTCTGGTGACTTCCCACTTCCCCCAGCACGATATCCCTCTCCAGGGACTTGTCCTTTCTGGCCACATGATGAAGGTAGGAGAGGGGGGCTCACTATCCTCAGTTCCAAGGAGCATTCCGGCCATAATTCCTCCAAGACAGATCTGTCCGTTCCTTCAGCCGTCCGTGGCACAGTCCAGACTCTTGGGCAACACCACAACTCAGAAGCATCAACTCTTCTGTGTCTTCCTTCCTGCAGTCATGTGTGAAGCTGGCTTTTTTCTCTCTGTTTGTTGCAGCCATGGCTCCTCCCTCCTGAACAACATGCTGGGGCTTTCTGCCTGCTCACCTGCCGGGAGTCCCCACCCCCTGCATCCCTGGGCAACCAGCCTTCATTCTTGAGCGGGACACGGTCTGTGTAGCTCATCACCGGCACGTTCTTTTAACACTTTTGGAAACGTATCTCATGTAAACGATGATTTTAAAAAGAGAAAGTGGTTTGTGGAAATGATCATTGGTGCTTTATTTTCAAAGTGAAGATCTTGAAGCAATGGATAGTCCATTGATAGTGGATGAAAACACAAAGCAGGCACGTCCATGAGCTCCCAGAACCTACGCGGCTCTCCGCTCCCAGATCCTGCACAGCTCTTGGCTCCCAGATCCTACATGCCTCTCAACATGTAAACCTGAACACAGAGCAGTGATAGGCAAACCATGCTGATACCACACTGGGGGCAAAATCTCATGAATGCTATGAGGGCCTCCATTAAAAATAGATAGTTTTATGTTTAAAATCTACAGTGAATTTGTAACAGTTTATAGAAACATGTACACCCCACAAAGATAAAACGGAGAATTGAGGAAACAGACAAATGGAAACAAGAGAAGGCCAAACCCTTGATGAACATACAGTCGTGCAGCCTAAGTGACAGAGCACAGCCACAGGGAGACACACAGTTGGTTCTGAGCTTCCTGGCAGCAAAGCAAAAAGGGAAACACAATGAATGAGAAGATATGCATTTTCTTTAAGATCTCGTCAGGGCAGCTACTAAGCAGAGCAGAGCTTACTCTGACCCGAAAGCCGCAGAGAACCATTTTCCCAGGGTCGTGAGGAAGGGGGCACGGGACAGTGCAAGGTGGCAGTGGCCCTGGTGGTGAGGGGCTATTACGGTACACTGTCCCACTCTGGGGACCTGGAGGGGCCCAGAAGCCTGCCTTCACGAAGCTCTCTGGTAAGAGGGGTGCACAGGTGGATGGCGGACCAGGCCTGGATCAGTGACCACTTTCCCACCAGTACCTTCCTGCCCTCATTCCCCGGCTGTGTGACGTGGGTCAGTGACTTCTGGGTTCTGGGCCAGGTTTCTGCACTGAAGAACTGGACCTGTAACTGTCCCCACCCGGAGAGCTCAGCCCAGGCTTCAAGGAGATGGTGTGTGAAGCACGTAGCCTGGTATGGGCACACAGAAGACATGTAACACGCCAGGGATGCCCACTAGCGCTCACGACGGCCGTAGGGTCTGTCATCTTGGACGGCGCTGACAGGCTGGAGTGAGCACCTTGAGGATGAACCGGGCACGCACCCAGCACGCTCAGGGTTGGGAGGGGGAAGGGGGCCCATCCACCCCCAAATGTCTCTCAGTGGCTGCCTATTATTCTGCAGCCCCCAAGCCCCGCAATGAGCTTCTACACTTTGCCAAGGAATGGCTTCCTTTCCGGGCAATTCAAAGAGGTGGTTCCTTCCCACTAAGCCAGAAGTAACATGGCTATAGTTCTGGGAACCTCTGTGTCCACACAGGGAGAAGTCGCACCACGTCCAGCTCTGCTCCGCGGCTTCTGCAGAAAGAGTGCCTCCACGCTAAGGCCCCATGGCCAGCAGGCCCACACGCATGCACGCACTGGCCAGCTGGGAGCCCGAGCGGTCGCCTTAAGGTCCCTACAAACTCCCCAGAGCACCGGGCTGGACAGCAGCCTCAGCTCTGCTTCTCTTCTGGGAACTTGTGTTCTGTGGAGGCAGGAGCAGTAGCGGCCTGTTCTGGACACAGAGGAACAAAATGTGCAGAGGGCCACCTCAGGGACTGCTCGACTGTTTACTGAGCTAACGTGGGAAGGACCAGCTCCCAGAGGGCACTGGCGAGCATCTGACAGCTTCCTGCACGCCACGCTGGGCACGGCCTCCCCGGGAGAGGCTTAACAGAAGATTGCGTGTGCCTTGGGAGGGAGCCTACCAGCTCGAGGCTTGCAGGCCAAGTCACGGGGCTCACACCCACAGCAAGGCTGCCACTGCAGCCTGGCCCTCAGGCATCCCGGGCCTGCCTGTGCTGAGAGGGGGCACAGGCCAGTTCGCCCGACTGCACAAAGGCCTGTGGGGTAGGACAGGACCAGCCCAGGCGTGCACCAGGCTATGCCCCAACAGCAGCTCCCACCCGAGAGCACCCTGACACGGACTAACCCGGAACCTTGCAAAGATTTACAAACATTTTACAAACAGAGACCAGGCTGCAGAAAGAGGCGGGGCTCAGGCAGGCAGGGCCGGGGATCGAACTGGTCGGTCTGTAGCAACCCAAGCCTGTGCTCAGCCAAGGGCCTTTGTGGATATCCTCACTAACAAAGTCCCACTCCCCATGCTTCCTACGTTGGTGGCATTTTACATCATCCCATTGCCTCCCTCCACCCCCAGACAGAGGCACAACATACTTCTTGTCCAGTGACAGTCTGCACACACTGTCATCAAACCAAACCAGTACAAGCAAATTCCATACTGTGAGCAAGATAAACAGGCAGACCTGAGCTGTCTTGGAAGCTCAAGGCCTAAGGTTCCGGCAGACTTTGCATGACCTCCTCACCCAGCCTCTATCCTGTGGTGAAACCCCGGCAAGTTGGAATCCATTCAACCAACAGCAATGAACCACAGGATAAAGGGAGTGTTGAGAGGGCCAGTGGTGCTTCAGTGGCAAAATTCTCACCTCTCGTGCAGGGGACCGGGACTCGAGTCCGACCCGTGCACCTCACGCACACCCACTATCCGTCTGTAGGGGAAGTTCGTGCGCTGCTGTGAACCTGAACATGTTCAGGGAGCATCCAGACTAGGAGAGCCAGGGAAGAGAGGCCTGGCAATCTACTTCCCAAACCAGCCAATCAATGCCCTCTGCATCATAATGGCTCAATCTGCAGCCAATCCCAGGGATGGTGAAGGACCAGCAGCGATGGGTCTGTTCCTGCTTGAGGCGGTGGGAAGCCCAGCGCCCAGCCTCAGCAGTGCACTATGGGTACCTTGCCGTACCGGGACCTCCTTATAGGCTCTCCCTGAAAACACACCACCTGGAGAATATCAGACCCATGTCACAGATGAGAAAGATGAGGCTCAGAGTGGTGAAGCTCCTTGCCCAAGATCACACAGCACATCTGTGCAGAGCTGGGATCTGAACCTGGGTCCTTATGATCCCAAAGCCCACACTCGTGGTCCTGCTATTGACCACCAGAATGCTGGCAGGGGCCACAGCCACCGGCAGTGAACGTCTGCCACATTGAACAGGCCTTCTTTGGCAGTGAGCCCAGCAGCAGGGACCATCCCTGCCGTCCCATTCTACAGATGAGAAAACTGAGGTGCAGAGAACTAGCTGGCACTTGACATCATGTGGCAGCCTTAGCACCTGTGTCTGAGTCAGCCGCTCACCCCCGCTGTCCTCCAGCCTGCCATGACACTGATATGCAGGGGGGTGGGGTGTCAAAGACCAGGGTGGGTGCATGGAGCCCCAACACTCCTGCAGAGATCAGAAACAGGAGCCCCCACATGAAGACCCCCACACCTCAGCAGAGGACTTACTGCTGAGGGAAGAAGGCCAAGGCATCCCTTAGAGCAGGGACCTCAAGCAGCAACAGTTCTGAACCTCAGGGGACACTGGGCAGCATCGGGAGGCACCTGTGGTTGTTATGACGAGGGCGGGGGTGCCGTTGGCATCTGCAGGGTGGGGCCAGGACGCCGCCGCACACCGCGGTGCACAGGACGGCCTCTCCACCGAGAATCGCCCGGCCCCACGTGTCAGCACTGCCAGGCTGACACCTGCTCCAGCCCTTGCTGCTCCGAGTGCAGTCCCCTGACCGGCAGCATCGGCCTCCCTGGAAGCTGGCAGCCATGCAGATGCCAAAGGCCCGCCCTGGCATGCAGGATCCAGACCTGCACTTCCCAAGATCCCTGGTGGCCCGGGAGCACCGACCGAGGATGAGCCCAGTGCGTGGGGACCACCATGGTGCGTGGGGCTGGCCCACTCTCCGTGCTGCACCGTCTCCCCTGCTGTGGGATGGGGGGCCAGTCCTGGGGCTCCAGGTGGCTGGGTGGCTGATCCCGGCTGCAGGGCTGGCTGATCCTCAGCAGGGAGGAAGAGGGGGCTCACTGTGAAGGTGGCTGCTGCACTGGACCACGTGTGTGAGCCACTGATATTTCCTCTGCCCACACCCCCATGACGCCCAGGATGCCCACCTGGCCCCTGCCTTGGAGAGACCAGGGAAACACAGCCGCATGCTGAACGCACATCTGCATAGCCACAGCCTACCTGGGTGGCCTCGCTGCCACGTCCTAGTGAGGGCTGGCACTTGGAGGAACTCTGGGAGGGGGGTGTCCCTGGACCCAGGTTTCACTGGCACTCAGGAAGCCAGCCATCGAGCAGCCCTGCCCACCCGGACGCTCTGTTCAGGACCAGTGACGAGATCCCAGGGGATCCCGGCCCCAGGACACAGCAGCCCCATCTCTCCTGCCCCAAACGCAGTAGCTCTCTGATCCCCTGAGCCAAAGGACTGCCTCTGGGCTGCAGGAATTACAAAGCAGAGAGTGAGTGGCTGGTGGTTCGGGGGCTGCAGCCAGATAGCAGGTAGCCAGGTATGGCACATCCATTGTCCAAAACAGAAAATTCCAAATTCCTAGCTCTTTTTCAATCTTAGAAGATCTGGCAATACTGGATCCACTTTCTTGCATGGGAATGCCCAGGTGAGGGTGAGCCTCTTCCCCCAGACACCCCACCCCACTACCTGCGGCCATTCGCTTCTTCCTGGGCCTCATCTGGCTCCTAGAGACCTGTGATTTTCAACTGGGGGTGAGTCTGCTCCCAGGAGACATCTGGCAATGTCTAGGGGCATTTTGGGTTGTAATATGTACCAGTTAGGGGTGCTGCTAAGCATTGCACAATGCACAGGACAGCCCCAAGTACAGCAGTGCCACAGACACTGGGTACGCGGGCCGGGGTGCAGACACTGGGGGCTGTAGACACTGGGTGTGCGGGCCGGGGTGCAGACACTGGGGGGTGCAGTACACAGGTGTGTAGGCTGGGGTGCAGACACTGGGGGTGTAGACACTGGGTGTGCAGTCCAGGTTGCAGACACTGGGGGTGTAGGCACTGGGTATGCAGTCCAGGTTGCAGACACTGGGGGTGTAGGCACTGGTTGTGTGGGCCGGGGTGCAGACACTGGGGGCTGTAGACACTGGTTGTGTGGGCGGGGGTGTAGACACTGGTTGTGTGGGCCGGGGTGCAGACACTGGGGGTGTAGGCACTGGTTGTGTGGGCCGGGGTACAGACATTGGGGGTGTAGACACTGGTTGTGTGCGCCGGGGTGCAGACCCGGGGGGGTGCAGTGCAGAGGGTGTGCTGGCTGGAGGACAGTGCGCAGGGAAGGGGATGAGTCCAGCAGCCAGCCTCGCGGGGCCGGCCCAGGGCACTCACCTGGAGAGCTTCATCTCAATCTGCTGTCGGATCTCCTGCCTCTCCTCATCCGTCCTCCTGGGGAAGATGTTCCGCTCCTCCAACTCCTGTTTGCTCGGCCGGTTCCTCAGCTTCACTGCCAAGAGCTCCTTCTTGCATTTCCTGGGCAGGGTACCTAAGAGGCCCATTGAGAGGAAGAGGGACACGGGTCTCAGCAGAGTGCTGGCTTGCCCATCCACTCCACCTCTAGGAGGAAGAAGTCTGGCCTAGAGTGGGGGAGCCAGAACCAAGCACACACACATGCATCAGCACATCCATCAGGCTGGTGCCTCCTGGCACAGGGAAAAGGGATGCTGCCATCGCTGTCCACCACAGCCCTGACCATGAAGCATCCCTGGATGCCAGCACAGTCCTGGTTGACACCTGTGGCCCCACGGTGACTGTGAATAGCATGCTCCTTCCCCTTCCATTGTGTCTCAGTTTGGAACATAAATTACATGGTCATGTTGCCATGGTGGTCCCTTGCCCAACCCCTACCCAGTCCCACTCTCCCACTGCCCATCACTCTCTGGTCATGGGGGTCTTCTTTCAATTTCTAGAATGTCCCACCTTAGGGTCTTTCCTCTGCTCATGCTGCCCTGCTTTTACCACTGTTATGGACCAGACTGTGTTCCCTCAAAACACATGCTGGCAACCCCAACCCCCATAGTTGTGGTTATAGTCCCACTCGGCAGTGGGTTTTCTTCATTATGTTTATGACATAGTATTAGTGTAGGGTGTGACATGAGTAAATCTCATCTGAGATATAAAAGAGATTAAACAAGCGAGTAAGCAGAGATGGGGAAGACAGATACCATGCCACATTATGACAACCCCCAACCAAGGAACGAGGACCTTCCCACAGAACTGACACAGAAAGAACCCCTTCCCCTAGAACTGACATCCTAAATTCGGACTTGTAGCCTCCTAAACTGTGAGAGAATAAGTTTCTTTGTAAGTTAATTGTGTGTGTATTTCTGCTCCAGCAGTGCTAGAGAACTAAGGCAGCCACCCAGGGCTGGCCACTCTCAGCTGCACAGCTCAGCTTGAACCCCATCTCCTCGAAGAGGCCAAGCAGAGGCCCATCACATCACCCCAGTGTAACTGCTACCTTATGAGAAGGTGCTCTGGCAGGTTACTGATCATCTATCTCCTCCCTTGGACTCTCAGTTCCCTGAAAGCCTCATACCCCAGCTCCTAGGATAGTGCTGTGAGAGTAGGCTACAAGTGAATAATGTGAGTGTGGCATTGGGGGCAAATACTAAATACAGCATGGACTTCCAGAAGGACAAACCAATGAGTCTTAGAAGAAATACAACCAGGATGACCTTTTGAAGCAAGGATGGCAAGACTTCGGCTCACTTACTTTAGACACATCAGCAGGAGAGACCAATGACTAGAAAAGGACATTCTCATTGATGAGTAGAAGGTCAGAAAAACGAGAAAAACCTGTAGTGAGATGGTTTGACACAAGTCTCAACACTTGGCTCAAACATACCAGTGATTGGGAAGATGGCAGAGGGCCAGACAACATTTCGTCCTGTGATACTAAGGTCACCCTGAGTTGAAGGCAGCTTGACAACAAGTAGCCTCACCAACAACAGTGAATCCTGTTGAGCAGCTGAGTGGGCTGGTTTGTGGGCTACCAGGGTGAGCCTCATCTTTGTGCTGTACATCTGTCCAGGATCAGCTGACCGAGATAAGGGAGACAACCAAGAACTCAGGGAAGCCAATGTTTAAACGTACTGAAGACAAGAAATTCTTTTAGCTGCATTTACACGCAGAGTGGCCATGCATTCAGGGTGCTCGGAAGTGATGATGTTCTGCTTAACTTCAGAATAACAGAGTCACCTGTAACACTTGGCAACCAAAGACATTGACTATTTGCAGCTAACTCCAAAGTAACACACAGTTTTCAGTCTTGCAGCTGTACTGTGGCTCAGACTCAAATCCACAATCTTACTGAGTCATTTCCATAGATGGACCTTTATTTCTTAAGAAAAATGTTTCCTCTGAAAGTCAACTCCTAGCACAGGAGAGGGAATACAAAGCAAGAGGACAAATCGAATGGTGCAATCATTTAATAGAAGTTTGGGGTAAGATACAGAGAGTTTAACTCAGTTGAGACTTGAATTTCTAATGTGAGCTTGTTTGCTTTTATATAAAAGAGGAGAAAAATGATGATTCTGGAAATCATTTCTACAAGAGTCCAGCCTGAAACTGTTTTAAGGGCTTTATAAATGACAAAAGATGAGGCTCTAAGGTTAGATAGCACTCAAAATATGACTGGGGAGGAGCTGCCTCCTCAAGGTAGAGTTGACCTTAAGGACATGGATGGAGTAAAGCTTTTGGGATCTTAATTTACTGCTGGGGAACAACTCAAAATGAGGGGGGAAAAGCTGCAAATGTGCATTTATAATCAGAACAAGGAATGTACAAAGTATGAATCTAGGAAAATTGGAAGGCATCAAAAAGGAAATGGAACACATAAAGATCAATATCCTAGGCATTAGGGAGCTGAAATAGACTGGTCCTGGCCATTTTGAATCAGACAATAATAAGGTCTACTATGCCAAGAATGACAAATTGAAGAGAAACAACATCACATTCACTGTAAAAAAGAACATTTTAAGAACTATTTTGAAGTACAATGCTGTCAGTGATAGAATAATATCCATATGCCTACTGGAAGACCAATTAATAAGACTATTATTTAAATTTACACACCAGCTACCCAAGCCAAAGTTGAAGAAACTGAAGATTTTCATCAACTTTTGCAGTCTGACCCAATATGCAATCAAGATGTATTGATTATTGCTAGTGATTAGAGGTTGGGCAATCCTACTTCCGTAGTGATACTGCCTTGGAAACCCAAGGAGGGGTTGCTATGAGTTGGGGCCGACTCGACGGCAAACAACAACAACAACAACAGTGATTAGAATGTGAAAGTTGGAAACAAATAAGAAGAATAAGTAGTTGGAAACTATAGCTTTGGTGACAGAGATGACACAGGAAATTGAATGACAGAATTTTACATGACCAAGCACTTATTCATTGCAAATAACTTTTTCAACAACATAGATGGCAATTGTACACATGGACCATGCCAGATGGAACTCACCAGAATCAAATCAACCTCATCTGTGGAAAGAGACAAGGAAAAAGCTCAATATCATCAGTCAAACAAGGCCAGGGGCTGCCTGTGGATCAGACCATCAACTGCTCAGATGCAAATTTAAGTTGAAGCTGAAGCAAACTGACACAAGTCCACCAGAGCCAAACTATGACCAGAGACCACCTGAAAAACAGATTTACATTTAAAAACAGATTTGACACATTTAACACTAAGGATCGAAGACCAAATGAGTTGTGGGCAGGCATAAAGGACATTATATATGAAGAAAGCAAAATGTCATTAAAAAGACAGGAAAGATCAAGACCAACTGGGATTTATACCAGATATGCAAGGATGCTTCAACATCAGAAAAACAATCAATGTAATTCATCAGCATAAATCAAACAAAGGAAAGGAACTACATGATTATGCCAACTGACAGACAAAAGGCATCTGACAAAATCCAGTATCTATTCCTGATAAAAATGTTGAACAATATAGGAAAAGAAGGAAAATTCCTCAACATAATTAAAGACATACGTACAAACAATGGGCAACATTATTCTCAATGAAGAGAGACTGAAAGCATTCTACTTATGAACAGGTACCAGACAAGGATGCCCTTTATCACCACTCCTATTCAATACTGAATTGGAAGTCCTCAATGGACCAATAAGGCAAGAAAGGGAAATAAAATGCATGCAAGTTGGCAAAAAAGAAGTAAAATGGTCTCTATTTGCAGATGGTATGATCCTATACATAGAAAATCCCAGACACTCAACAAGAAAATTACTAGAACTAATTGAAAGTCTTAGCAAAGTGGTTGGATATAAGATCAACATAGAAAAATCTCTCAGACTTCTTCACACTAACAAACTCTGAAAAGGAAATCAGAAAAGCAATACCATTTATAATAATCACCCCAAAAGATGAAGTACTTAGGAATAAATTTAATCAGAGACACACAAGACCTATACAAAGAAAACTAAAAAATACTACTATAGATACCAAAAGAGACCTACATAAATAGAAGACTATACCATGTTCATGGATAGGAAGACTTAACATCGTGAAAATGTCACTACTACCCAAGTGATCTACAGATATAATGTGATCCCAATCCAGATTCCATCAAAATTCTTTAAAGAGACAGAAAAAATAATCATCAGTTTTATATAGAAAGGAAAGAGACCCCAGGTAAATAAAGCACTACTAAAGAAGAACAAAGTAAGAGGCCTTACGTTCCCAATCTCAAAACCTACTATACGGCCATGGTAGTTAATACAGTCTGGTATTGGTACAAGGACAGACACAGACCAATGGGACAGAATTGAGAATCCAGATGTACATCCATCCACTGATGGAGAGCTAATCACTGACTAAGGGCCGAAACCCATTAAATGAGAAAGAGACAGTCTCTTCAATAAATGTTGCTGGCAAACTGGATATCCATTTGCCAAAAAATGAAACAGGGCCCATATCTCACATCACATAGAAAAATGAGCTCAAGCTGGATCAAAGACCTTAAAATAAAACACATAGACCATCAAAGAGAAAAACAAGGCAAAGTTCAGGGAACTAATTCAGAGCCTATATACACAATCAAATATAACTAAAAATGTACAAACACCAGAAAACCAAATACATGTCTGGGACCTCCTGAAAATTAGACACTCTATGTGTCAAAAGATTTCACCAGAAGAGTAAAAAGAGAACCTAGAGATTGAGCAAAAAA